ATAATCTGGGATCAGCCATCAAGAAACAAGTGGAACCACTGAAATACAGAGCCCCAAATCCCTAAGTCTAATAGCTGTCTCAGAAGGATACCATGATCAATGGTATCAAAAGCTGCAGAAAGACCCAGGAGGACCAGCAGAGTTACACTCCTCCCCCCAATCTGGCTCCCTTAGAAGTTGATCTTGCAGGGGAACCAATGCTGTTTCAGTACCATGTTGCAGCCAAAACTCTGATTGAAATGGATCTAGACTATCAGTTTCTTTCAAGAATGCCTGCAACTGATCAGTTACAATGATCAACTTGCCCAGGAGAGGATTATTTGAGACATGGCTATAATGGTTCAAGTTATCCATTGCCAAATTAGTTGAATGGGCCTTACTGTAGCTTCATTTAAACAGGAGGGCACAAGGCCCTACTGGAGTGAAGCACTGATTATATGAGTTGCCCATTCAGCTGTTGTATCCATAGCAAGATGGACAAGGATTAAAAAGAGAGGTAGTAGTTCTTCAGTGTAAAAATGCCTCATCCACATTCTCTAGCCTTACTACTGGAAACTAATCCAATATAACCTGACTATATGGTGCACTGAACATTTCAAACTGATCTGCTGGAATAAGTAAGGTCCCGATGGATGTGTTTGACCTTTGATCTAAAATGAGCTGCCAGTTGGTTGCAGTTCTCTTCAATTGGCTGTAATTTTTGCTTTTGCTTGGAATTTATAAGGCCACAGACAACTCAAAAAAGAGTTCTGCTTGTTGACTGGAGGTCACTTTAATTAACTGGGTGTTATAGCCTCTTTTTGTGGCCTTAAATAAATTACAATGTGTGCTGGATATTTCCCTGATTGCTGCCAGATTGCATTGCATGGGAGCTTTCCCTCATGTGCTCTCTAGCTGTCTTCATAATTGCTGCATCACCCTCAGATCTTCTTTGAACCATGAGGAAGATCAGGCTCTGCACTGAAGAGGGCATTTAGGAGTGATTGTGTGTGTCTACTGCCCTGGTCTTCAATGAATAACAGTGGAAGACCTGGACTTTGACAGGAGCACCAATAAGATCAGTCAGAAAACCATCATGGACATTCTGGAAACCAATTGCATCCATGAGTTATTGGAGTGTACCATTTCAGTAGAGCCATTCATTCTATGGAGGGCCACTAATGTACAAAACTCCAAATTTTAGCAGGCAATGAATGGACCATGACAAGGCAAGAGACTCAGGGTTTATCACCTTCAGATAATCTTGTCTCTACCTAGACATGAACACCGGGTCAAAGAGATGTCTTGCAATATGTGTAGGGCCCATAAGATGTTGGGACAGGCACATGAATGCTACAGAATCCATGAACTCCAAAGCTGCCCAGGATGACTGTGTCTCTGTATGGATGTTAAAGTCTCCCAGAAGCAAAAGTCTGAGGGACCTCAACAACACTCCAGAAACATAGTCTGTCAGCCCTGGCAGGGAGATCATTTGGTCACAGAGTAGAGTACACCAACACAATCCCCATTCTGTCCCACTAATCTAGCATGATATGATCATTCCAGGCCCAGGCATAAATAAGTAGAGATCCTGCTAACATTAAGAGAATTTCTATGGACAATGGTAGCACCCTCTCCCCTCCCCTCTGCTATGCCATGATGCTAGATCGAATATCTTGGGAGTTATAAGTGAGAGAGGGCAACCTCACCTTCCCTGTCCACCCAGATTTCAGTTGTACAAACCAGGTCAGCCTTTCTACTATAAGATCAAATATTAGCTCAGATTTATTTTGGACTGATGTGGAATTTAACAGCAGCATGCACACACAGATCAGACAGTCTACCAGTAATAACTTATATCAGATAGACTTGGGAAAACTGAATAATATGTATTACATTTTTTTAAAAAAATGAGTCAAATGTGCTTCATTTGTTGATATGAGGAAATTACATGCTTGAAACAATTCTCCCCCCAATAGATTTATATTATATATTAGTGTATTCTATTTTACTTTGCCTTTGCTTCAGCCTCTGTCACATTATATATCAATATGTCATACAGGAACTAAATTTAGCCTTGTTTATTTGTTTTGCTGGCAGTCATTTCACTTCAGTTAATGTAAAAATACAAACCTCTGTGGTAAAAATCACTTACATACATACAGGTGTTAACTGGAAAATTATGTGGCCCAAAAAATCACTACAGTGACTATGTGAAGTATCAAAGTCTGGTACAGTAGTGTACTTCAAGGAATTAACAGAGCTTATATGGCTACTTTTAAGAAGCAACTTTTAGTTACAGATACTTGGGACGTGGTGGCACTGTGGGCTAAACCGCAGAAGCCTGTGCTACAACCAAGCAGTTGTAAGATCAAATCCACGCAACGGAGTGAGCTCCCGTCGCTTGTCCCAGCTCCCGCCAACCTAGCGGTTTGAAAGCATGCAAAATGCGAGTAGATTAATAGGGACCACCTCGGTGGGAAGGTAACAGCGTTCTGTGTCTAAGTCGCACTGGCCATGTGACCACGGAAGATTGTCTTTGGACAAAAACGCTGGCTCTATGGCTTGGAAACGGAGATGAGCACCGCCCCCCAGAGTTGAACACGACTGGTCAAAAATTGTCACGGGGAACCTTTACCTTTACCTTTTAGTTACAGATAAATTTTCCAAGGCTCCAAAAGTAGCGATTGCTATATCACAGTTTTTCTAGAAATTGCCATTGTCCTAGTGCTATGGAAGTCATCTGGGCACAGGGGCAAGAGGAATGGTGTTATGCTTATTTAGTCTACCTGCATTGATTGATAAAGTCTTAGCATCCATAAAGTCTCAAAGAGCACCCAATTGTATAGTAATGAATAAAGCAAGACCCCCCCCTCTCTTATGGTAACTTTCAGATCTTACAATTAATTGATGGAGAGAAGGTGTCTGTATACAACTTTTCTGCCTCAACAAATGCATATAAAAACTTTACAAAGTGCTTAGGAGCCAAAGAATTTTAGCAGTAGAGCTTTGGGTTTATCTAGAACAGCGGTTCTCAGTCTTATGTAACCCAAGTGTCCTTGGACTGTAACTCCCAGAAATCCTGGACAGCACAGCTGGTGGTAAAGGCTTCTGGGAATTGCAGTCAAAGAACATCTGGGTTACCCAAGGTTGGGAACCACTGATCTAGAACCATGAGGCAATTCACTTTTCTTTTCATAAGTTATCTATAAAGACCACTTAGTCAGGTGGCATACAAATATGAGGGCGAAAACTCTATTGACCTCAGTGGTACCCGTTTCCAAGTCAGAAGGAACACAATTTGGATGTCACACAGGTATGCCCTAGAAAATGAAATGCCTTTGTCTTCTGACCATTCAGTGTTCTCAAGTTGTCTCCAGTTTACAATAAAGGAATTACAGCTATTTTAAAGAATCCATTGGTGTACAAGGATAATAGGAGTACAATTATTAAACATCTGTTTGTTGAGTACATTCTTTTAAACACTTCTGAATCAGAATTAATGCTTCATGGAATATTGAAGAAAACATTACAATAGAAATTTAAAATGTGATTTCACTTCAGAATAAAGAATTTAACAAAGCAACTGAGTTTTCATATTATATTGTTGTTTCGGTTCTCACTGAAATTATAGCCTGAGATATGTATGCCTGGCTACTGTCGGATGATAAGGCAAAGTTCAAGCCTACTAAAATACTAGTTTCACAACCCCTGATTACCTGGAGCCAGAAAAAAAAAACCTGCCACCTATCCATAGCAATTCACATGGATATCAGATGAAATACTGCAGCATAGAATGGGACAATATTGGACAAATCTGAAGAGGATAGCTAATAATTACATTGTGCAGATGCCTTGGCTTGAAATGACATTTTCTGGAAGGGAATCTGATGAACAGATGATATTCTAAACCTTATTGAAAAACTGACAACAGCAAAAATCCACTGGGTCCAGGCAGAAGCCTTCTTAGCCTTGTTATAGAATTCAGGTTTGAAATTCCTGATCTTCTGTCAAGAAATATGTAACATGTCCCTAAATTGACCTCTGTACCAGAGGATTATTTGGAAAGTAGCTGAAGAAACACATTTTTTAAAGAAATGTATTTGTAAAGGATTGATTTTCAGGTGAATCCAAAAAATTATTGGCTGGTTAGCTTTCCTTTTGTTTCAAATAAATTGGCAAAAAACCTTGCTAGAAAGAAAATTATCAAACGTATATAAGAACAGGTTTTACAGAAAGATAATCATCATAGATTTTACAAGGATAAGCCCTCTCTCAATAACCTTTTAGAATTATTTGAGCAGATCTTCAAACATGGGGATAAAGGTAGAGTGATAGGTGCTATGTACATGGAATTTTGAAAGACTTTTTCAAAAGTCTAAAAGCAAAGACTCCTGAGCAAACATTAATGAGTGCAGGAGCCTCGTGGCACAGTGGTTAAATTGCAGTACTGTAGCCAAAACCATACTTGCAACCTGGGTTCAATCCCAGGTAGCTGGCTTGAGGCTGACCTAGCCTTCCATCCTTCTGAGGTCGGTAAATTGAGTACTCAGCTTGCTGGGGTGGGGGGTGCAACATATAGCCCACATAATTAACCTGTAAACTGTCCAGAGAGTGCTTTAAAGACTGTGGCACAGTATATAAGCAGTGCGCTTTGCTTTTGCTTTTTTGTATGCAATGTAAAAACACTAGTTGACAAATCTGCTGATAAATTAATGTTCTTAACTTGGTTCCCCATCTTTTGGACATCCTACGGCAACTGACTCATGAAGCTTGTACAGGTCATATGCCTCTCAGCAAGGGAGCCTCTCCTTGTTCTGAAAAGACTTACTGACTTCTTCTGCTCTCTGCAGAATTGGATTGATTTGTATTTTATCTTTCTACCCAAAATGAGCTTCAAAGTGGCTCACAGATACTTGAAGGTAGCACACCTTTCCTTTTACCTTTTCACCCAGAAAAAAATCTAGCCATTTTCAGAAAAAATACATGAACATGTCAGAAGGAAATGAAGTGTGTCTTACCTATGATAAAAAGAATTTCCACTGCAATGTCACTGACAGTTGTGCTTCGCGTTGTAGATAGATCATCATTGCCAATAAAGCAAACGTTATAAGGTACAGTCACAGCAACATAAAACGTTGCCAATAAAATAAGCCAGTCCCAGCCAGCTTTAAAGGTGCTAAAATGCAAAAGTATGAATTTGGACTTTTTTGCATCTGAAACTTTATACTCCGGGAATGCCGGTTTATCTACAAAAACATTCTGAAATTGAGAGAGAAAGAGAGAGAGGGAGAGGGGGGGAGAGAGAGGGAGAGAGAGAGAGGGAGAGAGAGAGAATTAATATAAAATACAATAGTTTTTCTCTGATACCTAATGGAAACATTTTTAGTAGATTTCATAAAAGCTTTTCCTCCAGCCAAAGCCTAAATTTTGGATAAGTTTGACCTGATACTGTTTCTTTAATCCTCCTTTCGTGGTTCAGTATAATCATATTTTGCATTAATGTATTGTAGAGCTATTTTTATTCTCAGACAAGGAGAATGAAAACATTTTCTACTAGAAAGGGAAAAGGAAAATCCTCCATACAAACTGACTAAAGAGCCCCCAAAGTGTTCAACAGAACAGTTGTCATCATATAGCACTATTTCTGATAGCTACCTGCTATCTATATAAGCCAATATTTTCAGTATAATGTCTACTATTTCTTAAGTACACATTAAATTTTGTTTAATAATCTTGAGCTTACTTCCCCGGGTATCAAAATAGGCGCCAGGAAAGGAGTAATGTAGCACTTGATGCCTTGTTTTTCACTTTTTATACTCATAGCTGCAAAAATCTTCAATGACTTGGTCTCTAAAATGTGTTTCAGAGCACTTGCGAAATTTGACCAAAGCACAATTTGACCAAAGCTAAGGAAGTGCTTGCATCTTATCACTATTACAACTGCCACTTTTTTCCTAATATATATATTGCTTTTGTTTTCCAACAGCATCACATCACAGTTCATTTCAACATAATTAAAAATTACAATTTAGAGACTGACACAGCATAACCCAAATAATGTCCTGGTACTATAGGCTCCCATATGGAAGGAGGGAGGGAAGGGGGGGGACCTCATTGTACCACAAGATTCCTCAGTCTTCACTTAAGCACAGTAAGGAAACTAAGTCTGAAACTCTGCATGCTTACTCAGAAATAAAGCTCACCAAGTACAGCAGGACTCATTCCCATGTATCTGGGCAAGGCATGGCAACATAAGTATATTTGGCAGCTTTACATATAATCTGTGGTTACTTAGAAAAAAGTATTATTTTTTAAAATTGAGTTTTGTAATTAAAGCACAAGTAGATCATATTATGTATTCTATACGGGCTATGCAGATTCAGTTCAAATCCAGAGAGAAATCTCCTTCTAGTATATTTACAAAACTGGTTATCTGATTCAGAATCTTACTGTGAATTAGGAGACACAAAGTAATGGGTATCTATAAATAACTTCTGCTTTAAACCTGTAAGGGGCAATATGAATAAGTGCACTTAAAAGAATCAAAATCCTATTCCTCTCATCCAGGTAAGATCAATGTGTGCTATGAAAAGAATTTGGGTGCATTAAAGTGGGAGCCAAAGAAGGAGGGGGGCAACTTCTATGTAAAATAATTGACTAAATTGATCTGCATGAGGGGTGCACTGTCAAAACAAACTCTTCCATAGCATGTTGTCACTGCACGGTGAGATTAGTTTTTACAATACATGGAGAAAAATAAGTGGTATCAGCAGTCAACTTGAGACAGTGTCTCATGTTTTTCAAGGTCTGATGACTTGATGTGTTGTTAAAAAATTAATGTATAATTAATTTCGGGCTGAGGGGATAAAGCAGGTTGAACCATTTCTTCTTCGATGGTGGTTCTGACAAAAAATATCCCTTCTCCACTCCCTGCTGTGTGTTCTTCCTTCCCTAATAGCGCTAGATTTACATTAGACTGGGACAAAGTTTTTGTTGCTAAAGCCAGGATGGGAAAGATGCTAAAACTGATTCCCTCTGGCTGCCCATCTGTAAGGTCTCTGCAATTCTGGAGAATCATGGTTGCTGTGCACTGCTATTCAAAGGCATCATGTAGGAACTGAAGAATGACTTGTAGCAGTGGCTGCAACAACCCCCTACCTGAAAAAAGGAGGGTGAGAGCAAGGATAGCTCAGACCTACTCAACATAACTGGAGTCTTCCTGGTTGCTGGTTTCTTGGATTTCTTCAGAGTCAGGCCTTATAGGAGGAGAGACTCGCAAAATCCTGAGGGTCTAATTCTGAGCATCTTTAGAGTCAAGCAATCAGGAAGATTCCAGGTCTGTATACCAGAGACGAGCCATCCTGCCTCTTATCATCCTTCCTGGAGGAAGTGTGTAGAGGAAACATACATTGCCACCCCAAACTACCATCAGCTCATTTTTCTTTTCAGGTCTGGGACACTGAGACTCTCTCTGACTCTCCTTTGGCATGACTGGGTGCCTCTCAATCTTCATATTCTCTTTCAGGCAGGAGCACTGATGTTGCCTCCACCTCCTTTTTTTTGGGGGGGGGAGTGGCTGCAGCTGTACTCTTCTTCAACCAAAGCGAATGAGTCCGCTGTCACAGCAATGAAATGTCCCTCTGTGGTTCTGTGACTTTTAATCATGTTCCTGCCATGTTTTGTGGTCACATGGTATTTATTATGTTGTTTGTTCCACTGTGTTTTGGGGTTACTGAATCATTTCCTTAAATTACTCATCTTGGGTACTACAACCCCCGTTGTTATTATTTTTAAAAATCATATATATTTTTAATAACAATACACTGGGAACAGACATGGGATATTCATTTTTTTCAGCTATGTAAGCCTGAAGAGGTGGGTCTTCAAAGATAAAAGGAAGGGCGCCAACCTAACTTTCTTTTCTTTTTAATATTTTTTTTGCATTTTTTTCTATTTTTCTATCCGTTGCAGCCAGAGTGATTTATTACAATATATTCCATTCATTTAATCTTATACTCTCTAACATAGTATTAATGTAATCTATTCTACTTAAGTTGATGTAGATTTCATCCAGGTATAAAGAGGTTCCCATTTATTATTATCCAGTCTGTCATTTAGTGTATCTGTCAAAATATCAATTTCTGCTAATTCCAAAATCTTCTCAGTAAATTCCTTATTTGTCGGCCCCTTTGTCGTCTTCCACTTACTGGCATATACAATTCTAGCTGCTGTTATCAGCAGAATTAAGGTCAAGTAGGTCTTGTTTTTTTCAACAAGTTTATTGACCACCAGTCTAGGACAATACCATGTTCTGCCAGTTCATCTTTGTTCTTTAGATTAAAGCCACTGTCTAATATCTCAGCATATCTCCCATTTGTCCCTTGAGGTGTTCTTGCAAGATTAGAGAACGCTTCTAATGGAGCTACCCATAATGGTATCTTTCTGTAATGTTGTACCTTAACTGTCTTTCAGACCCATAATAAAGCTCTCCTGTAAATTAAATGTTTTGCATTGCTTATCATCTTGGTACCTTAGGTAGGCATGCCAGCCCAGTCTTAAATCATGCCCCTAAATTTTTAAAAGTCTCTGATTTTGTAGAGTAACCCATTCTCTCACCCAGGACAGAGCTATCTGAAGGGCTCTGTCTTCCCATATGAACCTTCTGGGACCCTAAGGTCTTCAGAGGAGGCCCCCTTTGTCCCTTCCATTACCCTCACAGGTATGTTTGATGGAGACATGAGAGAGGGTCCTCACTTTGGCTGTTTCCAGGTTGTGGAATGCTCTTCAGGAGGTTAGGTTGGCCCCATCCCTTTTATCTGCTTGCCAAATGTTAAAGACCTGCCATTTTAGGCAGGTTTGTAAGAACTACATTGGGCAAGGCTGAGTTCATCTTGGATGCTGGGTCTACCTTCTTTTAAAGTTCACATTTAAAGCTTTTCAAATAATTAGTGTGTTTTTAGTCCAACTCATTTAAATTCAGTTGTGAGCCCCCTTTAGGCCACCACACCAGGAGAAGGGAGGCACAGCAATAAACCAAAGAAAGAAAGAAAGAAAATTAAATCATTCTAATTCCATCTTACACTGATAATATAAGGAACGGTTGCGCAAACTGCAAGATGATCTCGTTTCATTATAACTTGGCTTGAAAAACTTCCTTAAGTTGGAGAAACATAAAAAGGTGTGCAATTGTAAAACTGTGAAAGTAAATGCTATTGATCTATAGAACTTTCTTTGTAGCATATGTGAAACATCAGGGTCTTAACCTGCCCTTGTCTTTGACTTGTCTAATACTTTAATTCACCCATAATGAAAACATACTGTTCGTGTTTTGTTTTTCTTGGTGGGAGGCCTTCGTGTCTGCTGTTGACCTTCTATATTATATTATTGAAAAGAAACTTTCAGAGCAAGATATCATGACAAATAAAACTACAAAAGATTAGTAGCACCTATTAAAGTAATTCTTTTGAGTAATGCGAAAATATGCTCTTCAAATGACAGCACAAAAGGAGCTTGGTGCTCTGTACCTACATTATTAATTTTTAATTTGTTCTTCTCTCTTCTTTGTAGGTGTCCGGAGATGTGATAAAGGACAGCTCTGCTTCGTCTGCGTGCTGAATCAAAATGTGATCCTGTTCTTCCTCTTCCTTTGAGTTTTTCTGGAGAACAAAGGAAAGACACTGTTAATCAATGCAGGGAGCAATTTAACCTCCGGAAAATGAACCATTGATATTTGAGGTTTTACCAGTTTAGCATACTAAGCCACCATTTGTTGTTTGTTTTTGCTGTTTCTATTTTTAACCTCAGAAGAAAAATGAAAATCACTTTCAGTAGAGAGAGCCAATGGGGTATAGTGCTTAGAGAGTTATGTCTTCACGGGGGAAATTAGAGTTCAAATCCATACTTAGTTGTGCTGCTCACTGTTCCTTACTCACATCCTAATCTATCTCATATGCAGTAATAATCTTATCACTATATATACCAAAAGGAGCACAGTGCAGGAAAGCAGGATACAAAGACTGTTCTTCATCACTACCATTATTATCAGAAATCTAGCCATAACTTGAGGGAGAAAAACAATGTTCAAGAAATGGTACCATCACAGAATTATATTATGGCCTGAGAACATGTAGGTCTTCAGCCAAAAAGGGTAAATATATTTTGGAGAGCATCTGTTTGGAAGAAGGAATTCCTTAAATGGTGAAAGCATGCATGATTGTTACAGCAGGAACTTTTCACACCTCCCACATTTTGCAAATTAGCTTGACATGTTTTGTCATTGGTTTGTGGACCAAAACACAGGCTTTGTCTGATTTCTGAAACTGAAGCATCTGCCAGAGTCACCTCTGAATTCATCAACTAACAACATGTTATGTATAACATACAGTTTGACACTGAGTGTAAACATTTCATGAATTTGCTTGTCTGATGTAATCGCTCATAGTTCCAATTCTGGCATCTTACAAGGTGGAAGCAGAAATAGTCGATGACCTTAAATTGCTCTTCTTAAATTACAGTAAACCTTGAATGTGCAACAGGACTCATTAATACATGCTTAAAAAAAAGAAAGAAAATGCTAGATTTCATATAATATTACTCTTAAGAGTGCTGCTAGAAATGAGAAAAGGAATTTGGTGATCCTTGGACAAAGCTGTCTGTCAAGCAAGTCTCATTAAAGCTGATGCCAAATATATAGATGAAGTGAAGAAAACCCAGTGCCATCAATTAGAAATAGCTACAAAGTGTACCGTGATGTCGCCACACAAGAAAACAAAGGACTTGATGTGTATGTGATTGATGTGAAGGCTCAGATGTAAAATGAATTCACTAATGAGGCCAACTCAGACCAGTGACAACCTCACTATAAATGATTTTGGCAATGTTTCATTCATCACACACAGCTGGCTAAGAAAGCTTTTAAACACAAGCTTCAAAGGCTTCTCTGCTATTGCACCATTTACTAGAATACATTGACTTCTACTTTTGCATATTCCTCCCCCTACGGGGAAGACATCTTAACTATCAAAACACTATGGGCCAAATGTTAAGTATTGGATGAAATGCTCTCATTGGGGGAAGCAAGATACACTCACTCTTCCTGTAGCCGTACATTTTATTAGTTCCCAAAACCACCCACAGATCTAGAACAGAGGTCATGTTATCTCAGAATAATCTCAAGCCAATATCTGCCATATTTTTCCTGAAAAACATGCAAAGGAAATCCCCAAACTTCCTAGGCAGCTTATACTGTTACTAAAAGATTCATAATATTAACCCTACAGTCCCCTTTAGACATTGTTTGCTTTGCCATTTGTTAACTATAGCTGTGCACAAATGGTCTTCTAAAATTCTCCATCCTATTTCTATGAAGAGAAATTGTGGGTGACAATTTTGATGAATTTCCCCTGAGGGAAAGAGAATTTCTCAACAATTACACAAAGGTGGGTCTTATAATTACCAGTGGTTGCAGCTTTGCACTCCCCCAGAAAGATTTTTGTCTCTTTGTAGTGCCTCTACAAACGGCAATACCAATAACTGTCTTGGTTAACCTGGCCACGTTCTTCTTCCCTCCCAATGCCCTCTACCTAGTGTCATTATTCATCATTCTAATGTCAAAAGGAAGGAGAGGCAGCCACCAGAAATAGGAGAAGATGTTTTATAGGGGAGGGGGATATCTGCATAGCAGCTTTCCATTGCTAGAGGAATAAGAAAACCTCACATTATTTCTTAGAATAAATATCTTCACAGATGTTCACAGAAACAAGGCAGAAAGCTTCAAATTTACCCTAAAGAATAAATTTATGAATTGCTTTCATGCAGCTCAGAGTTCATTTGCGTCTGTCCCATATAAAATGAAAATGTTATGCATCTGATAGATTAAGAATACTTTTTGAAGGTTCACATTGATGCACATAGGGCAGATCTAGACAACCAAATTATACTGGACTGTATCAGGTTGAATTATGCTTAGCAGGGTTGCATTCAGATATGGTATGTCCTCAAGCACCCTATCTAGCCTTTCTCTCTCTTTAAAGGAAAAGAAAGAAAGAAAGAAAGAAAGAAAGAAAGAAAGAAAGAAAGAAAGAAAGAAAGAAAGAAAGAAAGAAAGAAAGAAAACACATGCACAAAATTCCCCTCCTTGTCTCCTCATCCATGCTTCCCTTAAGATGCTTCATGATCATTAAAAAGTTAAAAGTTTCCTCCCATTCTGCCATGGGGAGGGGGAGAAAAAGAGAAAAAGTTTTCTATTGTTACCCCCAAAGTGCCATATTGCATCATCACTGCCTTGGGGTTTCAAAAGAAACAAACAAGCAAGCAAACAAACAGACAAAAACACCACTGCTTCCTCTATTTTCTCCTCCACAGGGGAGTGGGAGGAAGTTTTCAGTTTCCCAATATCACCCAGTGGCTTAAGCCAAGGGATAGCTTAAGCCATCTGCTTTGGTTTGGCAAAATGGACTAACTTTACATCCACAAAAAAGGAGCCCCAGATAGACACCCAAAAAACTTGGGTAGGTATGGATCAGGGATAGGCTGGTTTGTGATGGTCCATATGTCATGTGGTCAATCAGGAAAATAGTGAACCAGCCCAACCCCAGAGCAGACCAAACTGTAGGACAAATCCCTGTCTAATCACACCTGTAGTGTCACTACAGAATAATTGAAGGCCTCTAGAATGATTTGAGAATGAGTGGTCAGGCGGAGTACGGCAAGGCTGTATATTGTCCCCCAGCTTATTTAACTTATATGCAGAATACATCATGCGGAAGGCTGGACTGGAAGAAACCCAAGCCGGAATTAAGATTGCCGGAAGAAATATCAACAACCTCCGATATGCAGATGATACCACTCTGATGGCAGAAAGTGAGGAGGAATTAAAGAACCTTGTAATGAGAGTGAAAGAGGAGAGCGAAAAAATGGTCTGAAACTCAACATCAAAAAAACTAAGATCATGGCCACTGGTCCCATCACCTCCTGGGAAATAGAAGGGGAAGATATGGAGGCAGTGTCAAATTTTATCTTCCTGGGCTCCATGATCACTGCAGATGGAGACAGCAGCCCTGAAATTAAAAGGTGCCTTCTTCTTGGGAGGAAAGCGATGACAAATCTTGACCGCATCTTGAAAAGCAGAGACATCACCTTGCCGACAAAAGTCCGAATAGTCAAAGCTATGGTTTTTCCTGTTGTGATGTATGGAAGTGAGAGCTGGACCATAAAGAAAGCAGACCGCCGAAGAATTGATGCCTTTGAATTGTGGTGCTGGAGGAGGCTCTTGAGAATCCCCTGGACTGCAAGGAGAACAAACCTATCAGTTCTAAAGGAAATCAACCCTGAGTGCTCACTGGAAGGACAGATCCTGAAGCTGAGGCTCCAGTACTTTGGCCATCTCATGAGAAGAAAAGAGTCCTTGGAAAAAACCCTGATGTTAGGAAGGTGTGACGGCAAGAGGAGAAGGGGACGGCCGAGGATGAGATGGCTGGACAGTGTCTGCGAAACAACCAACATGAACCTGACACAACTCCGGGAGGCAGTAGAAGACAGGAGGGCCTGGCGTGCTCTGGTCCATGGGGTCACGAAGAGTCGGACATGACTAAACGACTAAACACACACACAGAATGATTTACTGCATTCCACAAAATCATCAGGGGGGAGGGGGGAAATCCATTTGAGGAAAACCATATTAATAGAGAAATTTCTTGAAGAAAAGCTTCCAATACCTCTCGGAATTCATGATTAAATAAAGAGCATTGCTTGCATAACTGAATTTCTAAAAGCAAATGGCTGAAATGCTAGGCTGGGTTGTCAGAAAGTACAGTGGTGCCTTGCTTTACGATTGCCCTGTTTAATGACAAAACCGCATTACGATGATTTTTTTGCGATCGCTTTTGCGATTGCAAAACAATGTTTCCTATGGGGGAATTTCACTTTGCGATGATCGGTTCCCTGCTTCGGGAACCAATTCTTCACAAAATGACGATTTTCCAACAGCTGATCGGCGGTTTCAAAATGGCCACCGGGTAAACAAAATGGCCCCCCACTGTTTTCCAGAATGGATTCCTCGCTGCACAGGCAGCGAAAATGGCCGCCCTATGGAGGATTTTCATTGGACCGTGAGTTTACAGCCCTTTGGAACGCATTAAATGGGTTTTAATGCGTTTCAATGGGTTTTTTCTTTTTGCATTATATTTTCGTTCTACAGCAATTTTGCTGGAATGAATTAACGTTGTAATGTGAGGCACCACTGTATGAAACTGATATAAATATGATGCAGAAATGTAAATAGGATGGCATGGATCTTACAGAATGGCAGAACTTTTACTAAGTAAGTTTTGGTAAGTTTCATAACATTACGCCTCTAACAGTTTTCACAAAATATTTTGGGATGGAATAAGTGTAGTATAAGTGTCAATACTATTTTAAGGTATAACTTTAGCTAAACCTTCTTGTCAGGCTGCTAATTGCCCTGGGAATATTGTGAAAGTATAAATCCATTTGCAGATGAAGTATGTTTTTCATAGTCTGGTCCTGATTCATTAATCACTGAATGATTGATTGAATAGACTTATATCAGACTAAATTGTTATAAAAATCTATCACTTTATGAAAGACTTTCTTTACACACAGACTCAAATAAAGTGGCTAGGGCATGTACAAAAAT